ATTCATACTCTCACATTTGAGAGTACAAATTGATTTCCATAGAAATGAATGTGCAAGTGGGCAGCTGCACATATCTAATACTAGGCCTAAATGTGTAAGTGTTTTATAACTTTTTAGTATTAAAGCTATGATGGCAGCTGAGGCATGCAAGATACTCAGAAGCAAAGCAAGGTTTTTATCCCCATCTTTGCCATTATCTGCAGAAGAGCAAGAGAAAGAGTTTTACAAGACTAAGTTTTCAAAACATTATTTGCTAGTGCTGCAATCATTCAGAAACTTGCAGCCTTTTCAATGAGTTAAACTTTCTTCTTTGCACCTTTCACATTACTTTGCATATGAAACATCTGTGTAAAAAAGAACATAAGCTGTATATATATGAAGTGTGTGATTTGAAAATACATTTTAATTCCCCAGATAGCAGTATAAAAATCTTATCTACCTATTTCATCACAAATTTGTACCATTTTCTCCTTAAAACAACTCCAAGACTTAGTTCGAGGTTTTCCTTCACAGGAGCTACATCAGGTTTGTAACTCTGGCAAGCAAGAATAACTGATTAAGCAATAATAAACAGAAAAAGTAAGAACAGGAAAGATGGTCAAACCCAGAAGTCTGGAAAAGGTCATATTCTGATCTTCAAAGGAATAAGTGCACATATGCTATAGGGAGAAAGGAAAAGTGTGTAGGGACTCTCCTATGCATGGGTGGAGGAGAAGTTTGATCTGCCAGGGCTAGGGAGACAACATTCACTCATGCTGATGCTTGTTCAGTAGTAGAGGCCCAGCACACTCAGGTAGTGAGAGACTTCCACTTACATATAGAAATCAAACTGATTTTCTCAAGAAAGGAAACAGAAGTCATCTGTAAGAATGGGGAGTCATGGGGCCCACTACTAACAACAACTCTACAGACTTAGTCTGCTCATGTCATACACAGCAGCAAACTCATAGCACAGAATCCAAAAGTTAAGATTGGACTACTTCCCATTTATTGTCGTTAGTGCCACTTCTTTGTTGGCCAAAAGTGATTTTATATGTAACTCAATTTGTCTAAATTTTGCCTGTTGCCTATGTAAATTAGAACTGTCTGAGCATTCTTGAAATCTGGGGGAAAGAGAGTGGGGAGAGGAGGAGAACCTATCCATGCTGGTTTTACAAGGCTATTACAACAGTCAAATCTTTTAGCACAAAAAGAGATCTTGTGAGCAAGAAGGTGTCACTTTCAACTAACTGCTTTTCAAGATGTACTTACATTTAAATAATACACTTAAATTCTTTCTTTGACCTGCAGCTAAGACCACAGGTCTTTTTAAATCAGAATTTTACGTTCAGGCTCTTCTGTGAAATTTACTCATAGCTCTGGAGAATATCCAGTTGGTGTTATTTTTATACCAGGACACAAAAATCAATGAAAAGCCTTGCGCAGCTTGAGAAGGCACACAATTCTGTCAATAATAAAGCTGAAGAGTATCTGACATTTTAAAAACAACAACAAAAGCTTTCCTGTGTCAATACACAAGTTCGCTGTTTCTATTTTCAGACTGCACAACAGAAAAGGTTTCTTTCCTCTTGATGTTGTTATTAATACACAGAAAAATGGTAAGAACCTGAATGTGAACCCCTCACATACCCAGGTCTCCTCCCAGGAGCTCAGTTGCACTGTAAAGTCAAAGCAGCATTGTCTTAGTGAGGGAAAAAACAAAAATAGATTAAGAATCATAGAATCGTTAGGGTTGGAAAGGACCTTAAGATCATCAAGTTCCAACCCCCCTGCCATGGGCAGGGACAACTCACACCAAACCAGATCACCCAAGGCCTCGCCCAACCTGGTCTTGAACACTGCCAATAAAGAATATAAAAACCCACCAAGTACTACCCAAAACCACCCATATTAATGCCTTTCAAAGTTATATTTTCAGTTCCGCTCTCTTTGGCAAATTGAACAAAACCAGATGCAAGTATACACGGTCCTTAAAGAGCAGCTGCATTTAACTTTATATTTTTCTGGAGAGGTCAGGCTGTTTCAGGACACACAGGTTTTATCCAGTCAAACTTCTCCAGCTGGGCCAAACCCCGCAGGTCTTTCCAATACAGAAGAGGGCTGGCTGCTCTCAAGGGCATTCTTATCAATAGAAGACTAGTCTACCAACGTCATACAAGTAGCATTTGTGCAACAAGCCATATGATCCCCAAGCTGTATTTTGTACACTCACTCAGCAACTGAAAGACTGTAAGTCATGAAAGGAGTCTGGACAAAAGGAAAAGAAATACAATCCAATTAAAAACAAAACAACCCCATAGTTTGTTCCCCAAACTCTTTTTGTGTCCCTTTGCCTGGTGGGTTATGCTATCTTCACTTCAGCTCAGTGCCAGTCCACTAAGTATATATAAAAGTACCATCAGAACAATGCCAAACCTTTTAAAAAGCAATATTGTCCCAGAAATCCCTTTGAAATAACATATCTAAATGTTTTTAAACAAAAAAAAAGTAAGTTAAAATGATCTAATAACAAGCAGAGAATCTGTTACAGAGCATCTTACAGCTTTCATAAAACTGATTTTCTGGTATTATATGATTTACAAGCTGGAAAACCCTAGCTTGAAGCACCAATATTCTCCTACCTTCTAGCAATGTGCTATGGTGAGCACAGGTGGGCATGCACCATGCAGAGGTCCAACATCATTTCATTATGATTAAATACTTTAGTTACAAACATTAACCGGACAGTTTTTCCCTGTGAGAATGATCAGCCACCATTTCTTCCAACGTTTTACTCACAAAGAAAGCCTAATAAATATCGCTCTAGCAGTTTATCATATCAAGTAGTTTCAAGTGTTCAGAAATCTGCAGTGAGAAAAGCAGCCACCTCACTGCCTAAGGCAGCCTGCAGATCTTAAAAGGATGTTGAAACGGGTTTGAAGACCAAAATGGATCTTTAGCAAGATCATTCTAAACCTGACATCTTTGTGTGCTGCTCTAAGCAATATTTCACTCAAATGTCATTCTCCAACACCACAACTTGACCTGCCCAAAACGCACACAAACAAAAGATAGAAGAATGCTACTCAAGGGTGCGCATTTCTACCTCTCTGAGCAAAATTGTTTTGCAGGTTTTTTACCTCCCTCACATTCAGGATATTTTCCCCTTTAGACTAACTCATTCCTACAAATCATGGGTGTGCTCTCCATACTTCCACCCAAACACAAAGAGAGGAGCTGTGAAAAGGCAGCATCGTTTGAGGAACTGGCAAGTCTAGTAGGAGCCCTATGTGTGAACCTCCCGAGATGTCCCTGGCAGCTATCCTGAGAGGCTGCAGGTACCTGCTCAACACCAGAGCAGCAAACAGCAATAGTTCAGGCAAATCCTTTATGGAGCCAGAAGGACAGTGACACCTTGGCTGCCACACACCAAAAGGGACTTAATTTTTTCCAAGGGGAATTGTCTTTATAAAGAGGGCAGACATGTGCTTGCCCTGAGCAAAATCAAAAGAAATCTGCCTGTTATTCATACAAGAGTACATATGGGAAAGCTGGCTTGGTTTAATTTAAAATTAGCATGTTTGCAAAGTTTGTAGAGAAACAGAGAGACAAGCTACACACATGCTTTGCTCTGGCTGCTCTCCTAACACTGCCAAAATACAAAGCGTGAAGAGAATAGCTCGAAAGCTCAGTTACCAAAAGAGGTAGCAGCTTCTTCTCTCGCTCCCTAGCTCTCTGTCTCTGTATGGGGGAAGAGGAAGATAAAAAGAGGATATAGCAGAGGTGGAAAGTGGTTACTGCAGAGGGAGAGCTGAGCCCACTGCCGTGAGAAGGCTCTGCCTGAGCAGCTCAAGATGGCTTCAGTCCAAAGATGCAGACCTACTCCTGAAATAAAAACCATAGGAGGCACAGAAAACCCCTTCAACACCTATCCCTGCCCAAGGCAGGATTTTGTGCATCTCCCCATAGGTGTCTCCAAGCTGCCCTGTGTGTGCATGCCCAGTCAGCACTCTTAAAAGTCATGCCCTTTGCTACTGCATCTCACATCGCAGCTTCCACCCGGCCCTCACACAGGAGACAAACCCTGCTGCTCAAGCAGGACATGGCAGGGCAGGACTGGGCACTTGGCACACTGTGTGATGCCCATCTAGCTACTCAGCAAGGGATGGATGCTGAGACAGGTCTGCATAGGCTGGGGCTTCCTTCAGCTACAGTGACCACTTCTGAAACAGTTAAATCTATTTCTCCAGTAAAGGTAGTTGGGAGCAAGAAGAAAACAAATCCAGAACTAAAACACACCTGTATTTTTAAGGTTAGGAAACATCATTTTATAGACAGTATCATGTGAGGGAATCTGGGCTGCTTCTAAACATGTCATTGACATGAGTTTCTGTTGGCTAAAGAGCTATTTACTTTGGAATCACTCATAGGAACTGCTTGCCACATAATATCACTGCATGATCAGTTTTTGCAGTTCTGTTACCTCAGTAGTAGCTGGAAAGCTCCAGAGAGATAAAACGCATCCCTTCAGCATGGGTATGTCAAGTTCCCGCAAGCAATCTTCTGTTTATCTTGTTAACATCAGGCCAATACACAGACTAAAGCAAGCGTTAGCACTGAAACAAACCTCGACAGACTAAGAATAGCTGTATTTATATACTGTCTTTCATCTGAGGAAGTCAGAATGACTGAAGACAAGACACACAATCCTTCACTGCACAGACTGCTCTCCATCTAGTGCTGGAAATACGAGAAGCAAAAAGGGTGACAAGCACTGGCTGAGCAGCCAGTGTAGCTCTGGTCCCATGAAGTGATCCTGTGTCCCTGGATTGGCACAGTTCATCACCTTTGGCCCTGTTTGAACTTTTTCTCTGATTTATTTAACTTTAAAATACGTACAAAATAAATCTTGGCAGCACTCACTGCAACATAGTGCATCACCAGAGTCAAATTCATGCTGCAACCATGGATTTTTAATTACCTTGTGTTTTAAATCGCTGCTATTTCTGCCTCACCAGCAGGTCATAGGGATGGCACTGCTTTCCCCAACACTCTCTACTCCAAGATGAAGACTCATCTGTCCAGGAGTGAACTCAGCCACCACTGGACTGCACACACCAAGCTCGAACAGACCTGCAGTAAATCTGCTCCGGAGCACTAGGATGTCATCTGTGTTGCCTGATCTATACCAACTGACATACTTTACTCTAAAAATTAGCCCTCACCCAGTGGCTGGCACCTCCTCCACACCATGCCAGCTGCTTTTACATACACTGCCTGTGCTGAACAGTGCTTACTCATTTAAGCCACAACAGGCAGTGCTGTGGGGAGACAAGACATGCTTGCAGAACTTGTGGCAAGATGCAGGTGTCTTGAAGCAACCATGTCCTGCCATTTATCTTCTCCTCACCCCACCTCACCACTTCTGCAAGTCCTCTTTTAGCCAGCATTTTGGGCCCCAGCCCTGGACCCTGTGGACAGCTTCCCATGGGTCAAGGAGCATCATCCCACAGGTATGAGAGATCCTACCCATGACAGCCCCTTTGCAGCCTGCTCCATAGCACCCAGAAGTGCTGCCAAAGGCAGGCTGCTGCTTGTGAGCTCTTAGGTTTGTGGGAGGTTTGAAAAATCAGTTGGTTTTCCCCCCATTTCCTGAAGTACAACAACTTCATGGACAGACGGATGTCCATGTTTAAAGAATAAGTGGAAATCTGCTTTTCTTCTTCATTTTTAAGCCCCTAGTTACTGCTTCCATTTTCATATTTCCTGAGACATGGCAAACTACTCTTGTGAGTAAGAGATGTTGCTCCACAGTTAATCTTCTTTCCAATCAAAACTGCATTTACCTAGTTCAGTGCATGGGTAAAGGGCTGTTACAGTTCTGAAACTGCAAACAACAGCATTGATGGATATGATCACCACATCAAGATTGCACACCGCAAACTGTCCTCCTTTTAAAAAGAATGCAGCTTTAAGTAAACACAAGACATTCCAGATAAAGCTAATAGAAAGAGCAGAGAAAGGATGTAGGCTGTCTGGTTATGTGAGATACATATATATATATGTATATATTACAGATATAGAGATATTTTATCTTTTGTACAATGTGCTAAAATGAGAGTAGGGTTTCATTTGGGCCCCCAAGAGCAGTGCCAGGGCTCAGTGTCACTTTTCGGTTCCCCAGAGGTCCTCTCAGAAGCTTTGTTTCTTAGCTGCATTTTACCACACAGTCTCCTGACTGAACTGCTCCAACCTCAAGCAAAGCGCCCTCTACTGCAATGTCAAATAAACTATAGAGGCTCCCTCAATAGTCACTGAAGAGCTTGTGGCATCTCCAGGGAGCAATTCAGCTTTTTTAGGGTCTGGATTGCCCTCAACAAGAGTCACTCCATCCTCTTGCAGGACAGAAGGCTACTTGAACATTTGGGCTCTCAGATCACCTGTCTGTGTCCTCCACATCTGCTGGACCCTTGCATATCTATATGTTGCCAATGAAACCATACAGATGCTTATTAGGCATCTCTGCCACCCTAGTCACCTCATTACTGACAAAGATGCAGCCAGCAATTATTCCAGAAGCTAGCTGAGCTCTGGAAAGACCATGCATGACTACCCTTGTAGGTTAATAGGAATCCAAACAGTCATTAGTATCTCTATTAAATTGACTAATTGTCGGGTGTTATTGGGAAAAACGAAGATTCCAGTGTTTTGCTGAAACCTTCAATCCATTTATTTACTGAGTAAGCATAACTGTAATTTGTTTCCCCTTTCCTTGAGTATACTTTGGCTGGGGAATTTTCCTCAGTATTTCCTACAATCATACCAATGCCTGTGGAATATACCACTTCTTTTAATACGATCCTCATACCTCAGCTTTAATCTTCTACAGAGCACTGCCTTTTCTCTGCTTCCACTGCACTGCAGCATCTTAAGTGTGCTCAGCACATTACAGTTTCAGTAAAATCAGAGAACTCTGAACATCTCCAGCTATCTCTTTCTAACTTAACTGAAATCATACTGCAAAGCAGGGCCTGTGACACAATTGCCTTGAAACCATAGGAGATCACTCGACTGGTTTAAATATGACTGTGGTTCTTTTGGCTTTTTTCCATGTAACAACAAGCACTAAGCTCAATAAAGACAGTAAAATTATTACCAGGAAATAAAACCTTCAAAACCTGTTTCTCTTTAGGCTTTTGTAGTAAAAACACAAAGGAATCCTGAGAATTAAATCTTTTTTCTTAGAAGTAGACAGTGTGATTCATTTTGAGTCACAAACGTCCCTAAATGAATCTAAATCACATTTGCCTAATTTACAAAGAGAAACCTATTCTTTCTTCTATTTTGAATTCCACCACTGGAAATTCAGCTTGGGGAATTCAGCTGGATCATTGCTTAGTTACATATCCCCGTCAAACAAATTCTGTGCTGACTAAACTCCCTAGAAATCCATTTCACTGCTATTTTCTGGCAACACACAGACATAAGGAGGGACCAAAGCTGACGCTACAGCTAGAGCCTCACCAGCAAGGATGCTGACAATGTGAGAGAATGAGCACATGGCTCCCTTTCTACGCTCATACTGGAGAGCAAACCCCTGCTCTCTCTTACACCATTATTCATTTAGAACACAGCCTAATGCTTCTAGTATCATCACTTGTGGGTTTCAGTCTAACTCAGTGGGAATTGCCCCTGTGTTGGCTCAATACTGCAGACAGGAGAAAAACAGAAGCAAAAAAGTCCTACCATCAATTAAAGTATTTCATAAGTGCACCAAGTACCAAGTCTATTACGTATAAAATGTGTCCAGGTAGCTCTTTAGAGACAGAATTTGCTATCACCACCTTCAGCAAACCAACCAGTGAGAATTCTCTCCTGTGAAAACCTGACAAGACTTAACCTTAGCTTGTAAACAGAGAACATAAATCATGCTCTGTCTCCCAGCATCCAGTAGGTGGGAATTAGCAGAGAGACATTTCCCTACTTTCAGCCTTCAGCTACACCTTGCTTCCAGACTTTTGCCCTTGAAACACCCTTGGTCATGCATCAATGGCTTGGTTTTATTGTCTCCTGCTTTTAAGCTGCTGTCTTTGACTTTCTGGTGCATTCTTCCTACAATTTCACCTTTGGACATATCAAGAGGTGTGACCAGCTAAATCTTTCATCCTGTTTGCAACCAGTGCACCCACTGATGAAAACTCTTTTCAATGTTAACACCAAATATTGTTTATTTTAAATGAATTAGAACTTCATGTGGCTGATAGCATTGCCAATCTCTGTCAATGCCAGAGTTAGCATCTGCACCATTAGTCTTGTCTTTGGGTCCCTGTTTTTCCAGTCATCACTGTTCCCTCAATTTGTTTGACTGGAAGGTGAAGAGTGCATCCACGAGCTTCAGTGTGATCTGTAAATGCCTAAAAAGCAGAGATAACATTAGCAGGAGGCATATCAGCTGTGGCCCTTGGTGCACACAGGGCCACAACAGTGATGCTCACAGCTGAGGCAATATCCTTTTAAATATGCCTGCTAGTGCATCACATACAGGTGATGTCTGTCATCCATGACTCACCTGTATGGCCAGAAACCTCTCGAACAGCAGCTGTCATGAATGACAAAGTATTGATTTTTTTTTTTGTAAGTTTTTAAAGATTTCAGCTCCACTCTTTTCCCATGATGTGCTTGCATAGTTCTTTAACAGAAGCACAGCTAGGAGACAGCACTGAAGCAGGGGCATGTTGAAAGGCAGTCTCTAAAGGACAGCACACATAACACACACTTGCTGCATTTACAAGACCTGGCACAGAGCTTCAAATCAGTTGCTTTGCAAAGGTCAGTAACTCAGATGGTACACATATTATACAATATAAATAAACCACTGCTAGCTCCCTATCACAACAGACAGCCAATATACCAGCACACTGGTAGAGTGATCCCAGGAGCATTTTCAGTGTCTCAGCAGGTGCAGAGTTTCCTGTGGCACAAACACTGGCTAGCTATGCTCTTCCACCAGAAGTTCTTAACGTTTAAGTGGCTGTACCATGTAGAGTACCAAATACACCACAATCCTCCTCCAGGCCCTAAGGTAATACCAGTTATTCAAATTTTAACATTGCAGGCAATCTATTTCTGTCCCTGAGCATGGCCTCAGCTGAAATGCAAACCCTCTTCCATTCCCAAGCCTTCCACACTTTTTAACCTTTACATTTCAGTTGTCAAAACTGGTTTGTTCCTGGGTTGCTTAAATTGAAAGGCTCCTTACCAAACCTTGCAACTTTGCTTGTCCTCTCACCTCCACCTAAGGTAGGAAGGTATCCTCCAGGCTAGGGAAAAGAAAAGACATCCCTCCAGCACTCCCTGAGGAGCCACCCCCCTCTTACCCCACAGACATCCTCTGCCTTCCTCCACCTCATGTTGCCCACTGAGGGAGTTGCCTGGCCATGGGGCTCTTTTCCTTGCTTGACACTTGCTAGAAAGCCATGGCTGAGACTCTTCAGAGAATCTGCCCCAGATTTCCCTCAGCAGAGGGAAAAAGCTGCTTTTTCCTGTACACTGGAAAGCGTGCGATTGAGTCATGTGTCTTCTCATTTGTGAGCTGGGAGCCCTGAACGTTGTGTGTACCTCAGGGTGGAAAATGTGGTGCTAAGTAAAAAGTGAAGAATGGAGGGTAACGAAGTAACTGCTGTGCAATGTGAAAACAACATGAGCACAAAAATGCTGCCTGGGCTTTCTTCTTGCTGGGATGTTTGCTGCAGAGCACTCCGACCCTTCTCAGTCACTCACCCAGGTTCACCTTCGGCAGCATGATGCAGCCTCGGTGTCTCCTGTGCCTTGGTATAGAAGATGGACCTATCTGAAATGTATTGAAATTAAATGGAACACCTGTAAGTAATGAAGATGACTTAAAACACAGCCCTTTACTACAAGCAGAGAGATATCTGAAGAGGGGATCACCCACCACCAAGCATGGCCCACCAGAAGGAAGGCACAAGGTGGCAATCTTTAGGCTCCCAGCGCTGAGGCCCTGCCTGCTTTTCCTGCCCTTCTGTTGAATAGAAACTGGCCCCTGGACCCCTGACAAGCTGGAGGGGACTAAATACAAGCTGTGCTTCCTCCACAGCCATGCAGCACAGCAGTGCACAACCTGGCTGTGAAAACTCAGCTGAATGCAAACCAAAACCCAGCACTCGCATTCGCTCTGTGGTTCATCTGTACACAAAGTGCCACGGTCTAGCTAGCATCAAGGTGACAAAAAGAAATGGTTTTACAGTGACATCACGCACTGCCTGTAAATCTCTGTCCTGCTGAGTAGTAGCTCTCTCTACCACGGGTCCTTTGGAGATTGGTGTGGAAGGTGCTGTTGAGCAAAAGAGCGGGAAGCCACATTTGTTTGTGGGGGGAAATACAATTAAATCAGCATGGATGGGTTTCCCCTCAATCCAGAATCAAAAGCAAGAGTTATCCTACACAAAACTGGTCAATATTTCTTAGTTTGATAAACCAGGTCAGTTTAAAAGAAGCTCCAGGAAGAGATTTGTCTGAAATGTGACAGGCTATGTATATGTTAATAAACTGCAGTTTTAGAAACTTTAGAAACTTGCAGTTTAGAAACTCATCTTAATATTGAATTTGACCTAAATTTCACAAGTTTATGAGATACAGAGGAACGGAAGAAACAACAGTCTGGATCCTGGAACAATTTACTTGGAAGAAGCAGGTGTCACCATTGCAAAACTCTGCAAACATTGAACTATGGCAGGAATAATCTCGTAGTTAAAGAAAAAGGTATTCTAACAGTTTCTCCCCCTCCCCCTGTACTTCATCTCACAAGCCTAACTGCTAAATAAGCATCAAAGCTACAGGCCTACTTAGTTTGGCTTCAGTGGTTGTGGTTATTTACAAAGAAATGCTCAAGACCAGAAAAATTTTATGCTAATATGTTTGAATAGTTGACTTCAGAGCTGCATACCAGGAAAACAACAGGAAAAGGATGTGGCCTGATAAATGCTCATAACAACTTCATCAGTGTCATATTTATTCTAATCAATTCAATTTCAGTAAGAATTAATAAGTGTGAGGAGTCTGAAACATAAGCATACCGCATTATAAAATAACCAGTTCAATAAGCTCCATTTTCAGGCAGGAAGACAGACATTTTTAAACTCACAGCAAATGCTGGTCACCAAAAGCCATTTAAACCTTTCACTGGAGGCACAGAAAATAGAGACAAAAGGCACAGAATGGTGCAGCCTCAGCCCTCTGAGGAAAGCAAGAGGTGGCTGGTGGAAAGAGGGAGGATGGCATGAAGGAAAGGGCAGGAGCAGAGGCTCTCCCTTCACTTGGTTGAAACCCAGGTTGTGGTGCCACAAAAGCTCCTTTCAATAGGAACTACACATCTAACTATGCATACATACTATACCATATAGTTACATATACATAACAGAGTGCAAGTGGCATGAATCTCCCCCTGCCGTTATGCTGCAGGGCAGGAACACATTGCACACGCTTGCAGTGAGGACAGATGGAAAACATATAGAAAGCAAATTCAGCAGAATCTCCATGAAAAAGTGAAAAGGCCATCAAACCCCTTTCCTCTGTCTTTCTTCTGTCTCTTCTTGTGTCCTGCTTGTCCCCATGAATATGTGCAGACTGACAGCAAGCAGAGGCTACATTGCTCCTGTCTGCATCAGTCTCCTGCAGCTCTGGCTTAGAGAGAGCGAACAGTAAGAAATTTGGCCTTACTGAACAACTAGAGGTACAAAAATGCATAATGAAAATATCAGCCTTTACTTGAAAACATGATCAAATCTCACCACTTCCACAGTGGGAAAAAAAAAAAACAAACAGAAAAGGAGAATACAATTCTGTTAAATTGCATCTCTTCTCTCCAAGCCAAGAACTTAGTAGGATTCAAAGGAACAACAAACAGATGCAAAACAACAGGTATTGGGAAGAACTGCTTCCCTTAAATCATATTATTTACAGGTTATTTCTTGAAACAATGCTTGAATCTTTCTCTCCACAAACCCTGCAGTACAAGGGACTCAGAGGGTTAAACATGCCACTTGCTGAGTACTTTTCTGAACATGCTTCTAAGCTTGTTATGTGCTGAATGTGGTTCACCAAATGCTTTTCTAAGCAAAACTACTCTGTACATATTGCCCCACAAACATTAAACCTCACATAGTCCTCATTTTGTGGGTAAACCAACTCTAAGGGTTGGTTTACACTATTAAACCATAGGGCTGCTCAGTGATCAGTCTCTTCGGGAACTTTAGACCACTGCTTTGGTTTACAACAAGCACTGGTGCCAGTCTGCAGGACAGGAAGAAGCCAGTGACCACTGTTCAAACTCCCTTGCAGAGTCCTGGCCAGCATGTGCCAGGGTCCTTGCCTCCTGTCCCACATGTGCTGCAGAAGAGACCTTCCCTGCCCCATCCCATAAGGAGAAATCCTTCCATCAGCCTCAATGTCAGGCAATGGGAAGATGTCCACAAGTCATTAGCATCCAAGAGGGGAAACTGCATCCTGGGGTGCATCACAGTATAACCAGCTGGTTGAAAGAGGTGGTTATCCCTCTGTATTCAGCATTGGTGCAGCCTCACATTGAATACTGCATGTAGTGCTGGGCCTCTCCAATTAAGAAGGATGTGAAGGTCCTTGAATGCATTCAGAGGAGAAATGTCCTAACACAGAGCAGCTAAGGACTTTGGGCTTGTTTAGTTTGGAAGAAAGGAGGCTGAGGGGCAATCTTACTGCTCTGCACAGTTTCGTGAGGAAGGGAATTGGAGAGGGAGGTGCTGATCTCTTCTTCCTGGTATGCAACAAGAGGAGTGGTTCAAAACTGCACCAAGGGAGTCTTAGACTGGGCTTTAGAAAGCATTTTTTTACCTGGAGGGTGGTCAAACACTGGAACACACTTTCTAGAGAGGTGGTTGATGGTCCAAGACTGTCAGTGTTTAAAAGGCTTTTAGACAATGCCCTTAACAACATGCTTTGACTCGGCAGCTGGACTAGATGATCGTTGTAGGTCCCTTCCAAATTAAATAGTCTAGCCTATTTCATCAGTCAAAAGCTTTAAAAGGGACTGGTGTTCAAAATAGGCCTGGAAATTCAGAGTTCCCTTTCTGCACCCAAATGTAATTATGGCACAGTAGCTCTTCTGAGAAGAGAGAGCAGGTCAGAAACCACCTCTTGCAGAGGTACCTAATGCTAAATGGCAACAGTGA